AGCCACACCAGCGGCGGCGGATATTCATGACGGCCATGAGTACGAACAGTCATCAAGAGAGGTAGTAAAGGCGCCACCATCTCCCTTGGCAAACAGCATTGATCATTTTAATCGCCCTATTCCGCCGTCGCCGTCTATCCAACTCGATCTAGCGGGGCCGGGGTCGTGGCGCCAGGCAGCGCTGCTTCCGCCACCGCGCCGCCGACTATAAAATCTTTGCATTATTTTGCCGGATTTTTAAACAGTTTGTGTTTGTTTGGTAATTTTAACTCTCTGATAGATAGATCTATTTAAAGAGTTTGGTTTTGTATTTAGCGGTCAATAATATTGTACCGTTGATATTAGGCTTATAAATTAAGCATGCAATTCACAAAAGATGTGTAATAATTCATGTTCATTTCACAAAAGATAAAAAAGAACATGAAGTATTAGGGAATGTAATAAGTTATTGGACGGGTGGTTTGCTAGGTCGTTGCGCCATTAAGTTCTTATAATGGGTGGAGAAAGTGTAAGCCGTTTGTTGATTTGTCAAAATAAATGTCGGGTGCTTTGTGGCATAATATTCGTACTTAAAAGTTACAAGTTTAATTCTTGTTAATATTTAATAATTTTGCATATGATCTTTTTTAATATGCTTTATCTCTCTGTATGATTTGCGAATTATTATATAGAAGTGAAAAGTTATCTAGTATTCATACATTCGGATAGTAACTGCTGATTTTTCTTGTCATCCTAAATTAAATGTTAATAGTTATGTTCATGGTTAACTAGGCAAGTAATGGTAAGAGAGTCATTATTAGGGATAGGGGATTGGGTAGGTATTGCTAGTAGCCTAATACCGAATTTTGAACTATTTTTAAAGATTTGTGTTTGCGTTGGATAAAAGGTATCAAATGATTGTTGTAAAAAAAAAAAAAAAAAGTTATTTGCTTGCAATTTAATGCATTAAGGAGAGAGGTGTTTGACAGGACCCAAATTGTAATATGATTGATACTATATATTTGAGAGTTGATTGATCGAGTTTAGACATGTATGTTTAAGTATACTCACATTACAATAAAGTGATTCAATATACTAATTATTGGCGTTTTCTCATGGTTATCTTCTTATTAAGCTACAATTTTTTAATATTTTTCCAGATAGTTTAAAATCTTTACTCTATTTTGAACATTGTCAGACTTAAATGATCTAAACTTTTGTAATTTCGTTTATTTTTCTCCTTAATATGAAAGATATATATAGTGGATCAGGGACGGTGCAAAGATAACTTTTCGTGTGGTCGTGTGATTGTGCGGTTAATAAAAAAGACGCATCTTAAGTACATAAATCACGCACTTTAAACACACAAACAAAGCACCTTAAGAACACAAACCACGTACCTAAAGTTTTAAAATGGCGCACCTTAAGAAGGAAAACAACGCACCTAAGAAGAAAAATCACTGCACGCACCTAAAGCTTTAAGCCGACGCACCTTAAGTTTCAACAACTGGCTCACCTTAACCACACAAACCATGCACCTTAAGAAGGAAAACCACACACCTAAAGCTTTAAATCAACGCACTTAAGTTTTCAACAACTGATGCACTTTAAGCCACACAGTACAAAAACCACGCACCTTAAGCACAAAAACCACGCACCTTAAGAAGGAAAAACCACGCACCTTAAATTTGACCTAGATGCAAAAAGACCAAATTGCGACCGTATTTTTTTAATCATTATTAATCCTGGACGTCGATTTAGGCAAAATCAATGGCTTAAATTTAACCTCACAAATGCATGGGAAGTGAATATAATATCTTTTAATTGATTAAAAAAATGTATTATATTTCAACTAAAAATTTAAAATAATATTTAAATTGTACATATATTTTTATAAATTACAAAAACTATTACACCACATGAAAGCACACATTGAGTTGAAGTACAAAATTATAATTTCTTGTAAAGTCTTATGAAATTATATAATTCCCTTTAATAATTTTAACAAGTTATAATATAAATTAATAACTTACAACTTTACTTCTCTCAATATATTTGTCAAGTACTTTGTGCTTAGTTGACATCTTTGTGACTTTCCTTAAGAAAAGGTCACAGGATCAAATCTCTGTGGTGGGGTATATACTCTTTGGACTATAATAAATGAAGAAAGTATAAAGGTCAGTTGGGCCAGTGAACAGAGATTGATGGTTAATTGGGTTCAGAAAATAATCAGAGCTTGTGTGCAAGATTTTTTGGGTCTAAATTGGATTGAGATATAAAGTTAGGTGGAGTCAAAGTGTAAAGATTGAATGGTTGTGGAATAAAGTGAAGAAGGAGAAAAGTTTGGGGCTAAAGTGTATCAAGGCACAAAGTATAGTGTCAAAGCATAAAAACCGAAAAAAAATAGCACTAAGGTCATGTTTGCCGATGCAAAAATGGAACAAAAAGGGCAAAAGTACCCAAAGGGAGGGGTTTCACCTTGTCCCACTGGTTGGGATGCAGGGCGGTGCTCAAGCTCGATAATCAATACGGTTTAAAGTGGGCGGCAGAGGTTGAACAATCGGCATCAGCCTCTATAGACGGTTGGGCTTTGGCTCCATAGACGGTCGGGCGTTGGTGGCCAACTGATCGGTTTTTTGGGTAGGACCCTTCCACCTTGGTCCAACGAGTCACCATGGTCTTAGTCAGACCATGGTGGAAGACAATTGACCGGTGAGGGTGTTTTTGGTCAATTGATTAGTTTATGCAATGAGCAATTGAGAGTCTTTGGTTTCTTTGTGAGACGTGATAGACTAGCAGGAAATGTGACAATTTACCAACTTCCACTTGACTTCTCTAATTTGTCATTGGTCATTGGCTAGTCCGGCTGCTTGGTTGACAAGCAACTTCCCAACTAGCTTCTTAGTTGATCTGTTAGTCCATTGGTTGGATTTATAAGTTAGACAATTTGAGCCTATTTAGGAAATTCCAAAATAAAGTTGCATAATTTACATAAACAATATTATCAAAATTGACAACTCTCCTTCGTTGACTTCACTTCCATTAGGGTTTGGTTTTCAATTCAAACATTTCAGGCGCAGACGCGTACATTATAATGTTTGGAGTATTATATATATATTCACTACATACTACTTATATATTGTAGTAGCGAAGGAATTGAAGATGAAAGTGGTATCATATATTATGGTGGTGTTAATAATGTTGGTTCAGGGTTTGGCAGTCGGCAATGGGGACAAGATTGTGAAGATGATGAGCTATGGCGGCGTGAAAGCCACACCAGAGGCGGTGGCTGTGAATCCATTAAATGGTGGTGATGAATACGAGCAATCATCAAGAAGGGTAAGTGGGTTACCGCCGTCTCCCAAGCCCAACCGGCCACATCGTCAGTTTGTTCCGGCTCCGCCGCCCGTACTCTCCCGCGTCATGGGATCAAAGCTGTTTCCACGGCCACCACCACGCCGGCGCCTACTACTTTAAAATCTCTAATACATTCCTGTTATTGAAGCTATAATACATACACAATCTATTAAGTGCCACTAAACATCATTTGAATGTTTGATGTATTTCTTAGAATGCATAATTTGATGCTAAGACATAATAAAACAATATATATTTTGGTGTATTTTATATTTAATAAAGATATTTAATTTTTATTTTTATATTATTACTTTATTAGCAAAATGCATGATACAGTTTTTTTTTTTTGAATGCTACTGACTCTATTACAGTATAGTATCTGTTCATAATTACTTTCTCAACCTATTGAAACACAAAGAGTCAATAACGCCTCTAATGAGACTTAAACTCACAACCTCCTATATGGGAGTTCAACCCAGGTGCCATTAGACTACAAGGTCTTGTCTGCATGATACAATTTTATTGAGATGCAACACTAAAATAAAGATGCATTATATTATTATTATTATTATTATTATTATTATTATTATTAGTAAGTATTAGTAGTAGTAGATACTACTACTAAGAAAAATTCACAACCATTACTTAAAAGTATATATTAAGTAAACTCTGAATTCATATAAACCATATAAGTAATGTAAACTATAATAAGAATACCATATGCAATGGGTTCAACCAAAAATTAGCAAGAATTGATTAATTGAATCCATAACTTGAAGGTTCAAAAAGTATACTTTACCAACTTGAACACCTGTTTCAGAATTGCATTTAAAATTTTAGAGTTTGAAATCGCAAAGAATAGAAGGTGCACCAATTCCCTAGGCAATCCCAACTAATACTGAATGTACATTATTTGTGTACTGAAAATTTATAATTTGATAATATATAATAAACCTTCAGTACCTTAAAGAATACCTTTAGAACAATTACATTTGTGATTTTTGGAGGTGAAAAGATGTGGTGAGGTTACACAAATGGGAAGAGGTTTTTTTTTTGCAATTTTTTTTTTTACAAAACTAAGCTTTTTGTAGTCAATGGTTTATCTTGTATTATTAACAAAAGATTTATTTTTAATATACTAAAAATTCATTTTTAATACATTAAATTTTTTTTTTATATATACTCCGTACTAAAAGTTTATTTTTAGATATATATGATAAAAAAATGAATATTTAATATACTAAAAATAAATAATTATTCATAGTCTACATTACAGTATGGAACATGGTCCATAGTATAATTTGGTAAAAATGTTAAAGGCAAATTATTCTATAAATTTGAGTCTAAAAATACACAATTTATATACTAAGAGTTCACAATTATTATATACTAAATATTTATAATTTACGTTTGAATATTTACAATTTTATATATTCTAAATGTTCACAATTTGAATTGTGAACATTTAGTATATAAATTGTGTATTTTAACCCGAATCCACCATGCAAGGTGGACCAGGATCCATGGCATAACTATCGAATATCCAAAGTATGATACTGTAAAATGATAAATAGTAGGAGAAATGAGATTGAAGTCGGGTCAAAATCCGACCCATTACGATGACTACAGATCGAAATAAAGTCATCATCCTTGGGAGTTGGGCCCACTTTCAAAATATCAGAGAGCTGAAGAGATAGATAGATAAGCTTCTGTTTCTTCTCAAACTTCACTACCTCAAACAGTAAACACCATGCTTTCTCTAACTCTAAATACGGCCACTCCCAAACCGCCGTCTCTCACCACCGCCTTCCTCCCTTCCTTCCACGCGCCACCCAGCTCCTCCGTCTTCCACAAGCCCATTCCCTCGCCAAGGCCCATCTCCGCACTCATCATCCCACCTTCCTCCTCCGGCCAAAGACTTTCGTCCGACCAAAAGCAGGTCTACCAGCCTTTCAGGCCGCCTCCTTCTCCGTTGCCTTCAAAGTTCCGCAATCTAGACACCAGTGAAAGGCTTGAAGTTCTTTCCAACCGGCTTGGCCTGTGGTTCGAATTTGCTCCTCTCATTACGTCCTTCATCCGGGAGGGATTCACGCCGTCCACGCTCGAGGAAATCACTGGAATCTCAGGCGTGGAGCAGAACCGCATCGTGGTGGCTGCCCAGGTGCGGGACTCTCTTGTGCATTCCGAGATTGATGCGGAGACGCTTGACTTTTTCGACAGGGGCGGCGCGGAGTTGCTCTATGAGATTCGCATCCTCAGCGCCGAGCAGCGGGTCGCGGCCGCGGGTTTCCTGGTGGGGAACAATTTCGACGCCAAGCAATCGGAGACATTGGCTAGGGCAATGAAGGATTTCCCGATGAGGCGCGGTGACCGGGGGTGGGCGGCATTTGATGCGAATTCCCCGGGGGATTGCCTGGCGTTCAGTTACTTCAGGCTGGCGCTGGAGTATCAATCAGCAGCTGCGGAGGATCTGTGGCGGCAGTCTCTGCACAAAGGGCTGGAGTTCGTCGTGTCCGAGGCAGCCAAGCTTTTACTGGAGGAGGAGTTGGAAGGGAAGGCAGAGGTGAAAGAAGCCGTTGTGGACGAAGTTGTAACCGTGCCATTGGTGAGAATGCAACGGGGGGAGCTGGCAGAGTCGACTGTCGTGGTGGTCTTGCCGGTTAGCAAGGCGGAGGCCACCGAGGTGGAGGCTGCACCATGGAACTGTGAAGGCACAGGCAACTTCGGCATAGTGGAGGCAGAGAAGGAGTGGCGGCGGTGGGTGGTTTTACCAGGATGGCAACCCATAGCTGCACTAGAGAGAGGCGGAGTTGCAGTGACATTCAAGGATGGGCGCACTTTACCCTGGAGGGAGAGCCAGAAGAACAAGTCAGAATCCATTCTGGTAGTGACTGATAGGCAGAGGAAAGAGGTGGCGGTGGACGAGGGCTTCTACTTGGTGGCCGGAGGTGGTGGAAATGGAAGTGTGATGGAGGAGGAGCTAAAGGTGGAGAGAGGATCAAAATTGAAAGAGAAGGGGGTTACAGAGAGTTTGGGAATGGTGGTTTTGATTGTTAGGCCACCTAGAGAAGAGAATGATGAATTGAGTGATGAAGACTGGGATTAATAGATAGATACAATACTCCTACCTTACAAAGGTAGCAACTTTTGATCAATTCAATCTGCAATCTGCACTGATAGTACCAGCATTTTCAGTTTCAAACTTGAATGTAGAGTTTCAAATGAAAAACCCAAATATTTGCAATTTTTTTTTTCACTATGCATAAGATTCCAAATAAGCTTTAAATTGCAAGAGTGAATTGGTACAATAACTTTGGCTGTGGCGGGCCATGCACAAACTGGATGACTATTTGATAGAAAAGTAGTTCTAAGCATCATATGGCACCTTATCAAGAAAAGTTCAGGGGCGGATCTACAATGAGGGCAGTTGCCCCCCACCCCTGTGTGTGTATATATATATAACAATAACTTCATATACCACAAGTTGACACTGCAGCTTCAATTGTGTAGTCTAGGTAGGCTAAGGTTCTCCATTGCCCTGCTGTCATCCCAGATTTCAGTATGCCATCTGCCATTACCTCCAGCATCCATTGGAAAACAGAAGCTGCAACCAACAACAATCAATCTCTCCCTAAGCGGAATAAGACAACCTGAACCTAATAAAAACATAGAAAGGGATTTCGGTAGTAAAATTGCTCCTACATCAATTCTTGAAACAGGGAAATTAGATACATCCAATAAGTACTGATTTTCTCAATGGTTGCCAAACAAGAGCCTAATTTTTATTTTTTTATTTTTTTATTTTTGGGGGGGGGGGGGGGGGGGGGGGGGGGTTTGAAGGAGTTTAAAGCAGCCAGAAAAAATTATAAGAAAAAAAAAAGACACACATTGGAAGTTTAAATCAGATTAACCTAAGTGCAAATAAGCCGCAATGCCTAGAATGGTAACATATTCAAAAGTCTGCTTCAACAATCCCTTACCTAGAGACAGAAAAATGTTCATTCCATAAAGAATCCTCTTGAGAAATTGAAAATTGATCATCAAGTGGACTTTAAATATGGATGATATCATTTTTATATTGCACAATACATGAGCTCCACAGGGTTTAAATCACCAATCAAGCCTTCGATATATGCTTCATTTTCTAGACTTTTCTATAACTAAGCGATTAACAATAGATAACCTGGAAAAAAATTCAAAAATCTCCCAACAACTTCTGTACCTAGAATCAGAGAAAATGTTGATTCCAAAACAAATCCTCTTGCTAAATGCTCATCAAGCGGACTTAATACGGACAAAATCTATTTCATATTGCACAATATATGAGCTCCACAGGGTTTAAATCACCAATCAAGCCTTCGATATATGCTTCATTTTCTATCCTTTTCTATAACCAAGCAATTAAAAATAGATAACCTGGCAAAAATTTCAAAAATCTCCCAACTACATCTGTACCTAGCCAGAATCAGAGAAAATGTTGATTCCATAACAAATCCTATTGAGAAATGCTCATCAAGTGGACTTAATACGGACAAAATCTATTCCATATTGCACAATACATGAGCTCCACAGGGTTTCAATCACCAATGAAGCCTTCAATATATGCTTCATTTTCTATCCTTTTCTATAACCAAGCAATTAACAATATATAACCTGGCAAAAATTTCAAAAATCTCCCAACTACATCTGTACCTAGCCAGAATCAGAGAAAATGTTGATTCCATAACAAATCCACTTGAGAAATGCTCATCAAGCAGACTTAATAGCAGACAAAATCTATTTCATATTGCACAATACATGAGCTCCACAGGGTTTCAATCACCAATCAAGCCTTCGATATATGCTTCATTTTCAATCCTTTTCTATAACCTGGCAAAAATTTCAAAAATCTCCCAACAACTTCTGTACCTAGAATCAGAGAAAATGTTGATTCCATAACAAATCCTCGTGAGAAATGCTCATCAAGCGGACTTAATACGAGTACAAAATCTATTTCATATTGCACAATACATGAGCTCCATAGGGTTTCAATCACCCACCAAGCCTTCTATATGCGCTTCAACTAATCAATAAACAATCACCAAATGTGTAAAATATCCCCAATTTTTTCAATTTTCTGTATCTAGAAACATAGATAACTGTTCATACCATACTGAATCCACTTGAGATATAGAAAAGCATTCATCAATTGGAATGAAAATATGGATGACATCTATATATTAATATTGCACAATACATGAGCTCCATAGGGTTTCGATTACCCATCAAGCCTTCGATATGTGCTTCATTCTTTTTCTGGATTTTAACTGAAATAAACAGTTCGAAGCATACAGCGATAAGGTAAATAGAATGGAGGGAGAGAAGAACGCACCTTTAAGAAGCAATGGAAGTTCCGAGCGAGAGCAGCGACTAGGGTTTTGGCTTTGCTGGGCGGGCCCGAACGGCATATGTAAGAAACAGAGACTGTTTGGAATTATTATTTTTTTTGTTTGAAAAAAATAGAGTTTTAAACTCTTTTTTTTTTTTTTTTTTTTAAAAAATCGAATGAAAACAATACAAAAATATTCTCCATTTTTTATAATTTCTTTAAAAGTTTAAATAACTCTCCAAAGTAAATTTTTAAATGGGAGGAATGATATCAAAGACATGACAAGGGATACAGAGAAAGCTTGGTGAGATTGTTACAAGTCTTGAGAACCATCATAGTGGTTGAACTCAAATATGTTTTTTTTGTCAAGTTTAAAGTGTCAAGCAAAAGTGAGAAAATCAATATTAAAAAAAAAAAAAAAAATGGTTGTTAGACCGCGTTGGTGCACACAATGTTCATCAACTTTTATCACTATGTCAAAAGTTGTAACTAATAAAGAAGACGCAACTTTATTTCTTTATACTTATATTGCAATTAGCATCATATTTCAGTGACAGAATATCGATTTCGGCTTTTCAAGTCGCCACCCAACACTAAGGCCACCAACTTGTTTGGACCTTATAAATGCCTATAAGTACTTGTTTGGCGAAAGGGCGATGTTGCATTAAGATTGAATATGATTTGAAGAGAATGCCCAATTGGTCACATGGGTGATGTTTGGGAACAATGACTCTGAATCGAGTCTCACCAGCGGCAGTGTGGGAACAACCTCTCAAAGTGAGGGGCTCCTTGTGCGCAGTAAGCAAAGGTCTAGTCTTTGTGTTCACCTGAGTTACCATGATTTACATCCTCATTGATGCTTTGTCCGGCCGGGACGTGGGGGGCTCTTGGGGTTGTGGATTTAACCTTTTGGGAACAATGATTTGATCAAGAGGATGGATGGTACATGGTTAATGAAGGGTGTTCTTCCTTGAAGACCTTTGTTAAATTTGTTGGAGATGTGTAAAGTATAATTGAAATGTCAATCAAAGATTAAGTTAAATTACATTTATAGAGAGCAAAACATTGTAACAAACTTTCTTTTAAATACATGACTTCTACATATATGCTTGAAGATCACAGGTTCTTGAAGACTTTTGTGTCCCTTTGACAACTTTTTCTTAATGATATGGTGAGTTTGGTGTTTCTAAATCTAAGAAGTGTGAGCACATCATTTTTAAGTCTGGGTATCCCTCCCCAGTCCATTGATGAAAAATTGAAAAACATGTTGTTTATTCATCTACATTTAAAAAAATCTTAAGAGTTGTACTTAAAATAAATAAAAATAAAAATAAAAACATTTTTCATATGAAATAGCTATTTTTATTTTTCCCTTTTATTTTCATGGATCATCAATGTTCAAGTTTCATGATTTTTTAGCTAGTTATCTTCTTTTTCTTTTCAAGTTGTAGTTCATAGCATTTGGAAGGAGGCCCCAACAATTTTCAATTAATGTTATAGCTCCAAATTAAGGAAAGGAAAATGCTTTATTATAAGCTATATATTTTGTTTATTGTGGACTAACAATTATGAAATGAAGAGTTACTACCTTGATAAGAATGATATGATTAATATATTATTATTGTATGATAATAATGATAATATTGCCAAGTGTGCAAGACATAATGTCGACGACGACAACAACAAAGTAAAAATATAATGGGATAAGGACTTTTACATATTTACTAGAATACGATTTTAAACTGTGATCAACTAATCATGGGCACCCAATATGAATGAAAAGAAAAAAATTTGTTATCGTGTTACAAGGTAAACATTATAGATAATGATGAAATTGCAGTATAAAATCGAACTAAAAAAGTTCGATCATTAAGAAAAACAAAAATGCATAATTACGCAACGAAAAAATAATCAAGAAATCATAAAATTTGACAGAATATGATTCTCGGACTAGAATGTTTTGATTTTATTAATATCATCTCAGCTGAGTTCGTCACACCAAATCTTTCTAGTATTATTTACATTTCTTGTGTAATTTATTAATTATTACATACGAATAAAATTTACCCAATATATATTTTTGAGTAATAACTGCAGATTTCCGCCATCATAAAAAATTAAGAAAAAGAATTGGTGTCATCATTACCATTTTATTTTTTTAATTTCCCTTTCTTTTCCTTAGTACAAAAGGCGGGGTGAGCTACCACATAGTATTATTTTTTCAGAGCATATGCAAGATTATGGATTAACATAGGAAAAAGGAAAAAAGTGGCTTATGTGAAGCTCAATTAGGGATGAAAGTGCAAAGGTGCATCATTAGGCCAACTAAATATGTCTCTTTTTAAATATTGTTTAAAGTCGGGTGCAAGATGTTTGTGTCTTTTTCGATCAATAATAAATGTATCTTAAGTTTAGATGTCATAAGCTCATCATTCCAATTTCATTAAATTTATTGAAAAACTATATCCTTTTTATTAAGGATTTTAATTCAAAGAGGATAACGTACACTTAATTAATATGGGAAGAAATACTACAATAATACTTTTGCAAGTGGAAGGAAATATGTTGGTTAAAGTTTAACTTTTTATTTGCTCACCATTCCAATTTCATTAATTTATTGAAAAATTCATATTGTTTCTATTTAAGATTTATAGTTAATCATATCTTATGGTTAATAATATAGAACGGAGTAGGAAAATAGTATTATTAAAGTCCGAGGCAGAGACTATGGCCCTCAGAATGGACTAAAAGTAACAACATAACTAACAAGACTCAAACCCAAGCCAAGTGATTGGATTGATAGTGCAGACCAGATACCGCTAAGCCAAGATGCCTGTAGTGTTTAGATCGTGATGCCCTAGGGAAAGACAAAGCACTCC